TCCACTCGGCGGGGTCACAGCTGCCTCTGGAAGGCACCGAGAGGTACCAAATGGCGCAAATGACCAAAATCAAGATTGTGTAACGCGGGCTGTGCCACAGTGAAATGGCACTAGCCTCTGCGCCGTGAACCCCCAATGTCAGTACTCCTACACGTCCCTTGGTCTGAGCGGTGTGGTAGTAGTACGTCAGCGGCTCTCCGAAATGTGAGCACCCCCTTCCCCTCCCCCTCACAGACGCCAGGCTATACGTAGCGTAGAGCACCCTGTTGCCGATGCCGCCCCAGCCAGTGTGTGAGCCGGCCGAGCTCTGCAAGGGGGCCAGGGTTGATGGGCTAACGTTAGAACGGTGTTGGCGCGTTAACGGCTAACACCCCCTGTATAGAAGTGTTAGAACGTGCCAACATCGACTTTCGTGCCGACTGTTCGGCACAGTGTGCGCGCAATGCCGGCCCTGAGGTGTGCTTACATGAGTCCACCCACCCTGGAGGGAGCCGCCGAGCAGCACGCGGCCGCGCTCGAGGTCGTGCGCGTTGGCGGCGCGCCACGTGAGGAAGGAGTCGCCTAATCTCAGGCCAATCTCGGGCTGGTCTCGCTCCGCCTCATGTCACCTCGGGTCACCTCGCCACGCGAGGGAGGGAGTTACCGTGCGGCGTCCTCGAGGTGGCTCGGAATGGCGAGGCCCGCGTGTAGAATGCCGGCTTCTGCGCCGAGACAACCACGACATCAAAGAGCTCGCGCCATCGGGAAGACGGTCTTGTGCAGAGTAATCGGAGCACCGTGTGAATTCGAGGGGTACGAATGCAGAATGCAGCCGAAGGACGGTTCGAAGATAGCGGAATGCGTGTCCTCTCGAGGGTTGGTGGGAGTACATTATTACGGATTCCGCTTCTAGATGTCGAAGCCCGAATTGGTGAGGAGGAAGAGCTGCTTGCCGCCCTCGCGCGCCTTTGCATAGCAGGCAACCTCAGTGCAGATCGGACCCCTCTCCCCTGTCCACGCCCAAGCGACTAGCGACAGGAAAGCGCTGCAACGTCACGCGCCTTTGCGAGGAGGGGGCCGAGCCGCGGACTGTGGTGGAGGTACTCGCCCCGGGGCTGGCAGCGACGGTGTCGTGCATCATATTCACTTTGAAAAATCGACCCCCGCGCCCCGGGACCCCGACCGACCTATACCAATATAGCCCCGACGCCTTCAGCATCGGTCCGGGGGGGGGCGGGGCGTCTGAATTCGGACGCCTGTGCCCTCCACACACTACACACAGTGTACTAGCACAGCGCCTTCTGCGCCGTGAACCCCCAATGTCAGTACTCCTACGTCCCTTCGACTGCGTCCCGGACCAGTGTTTTGATCCTTTTGGTAAAGCCTTTCGAGCCAGCCACCCTCCGGCTCGAGCCTCCGCGCTCAAACGTACGTGAAGCGAATGCTGATTTTGCGGGGCGCGAGGTCGATGCCGCGATCGGGTTTCAGAATCATTCTGATGCTTGGCGATTTGCGTCGGTCGCCTGAACCCGATGCTGGGGGCAGTTTCCGCAGGCGCTCAAAGCATGACGGCTCTTCATAGATCAGCTGCGGATTGTACGTGATGTTGGTGGAATTCGTCATCGCGCTAACGCAAGTCTGCAAGGCAGCTTGGAACTCCACCACACGCAACGTACTGAACATGTCGGGAACAAAAGTTTCTGGAGTTGCGTTTCTCTGCGTAGTCTTTTTGATGTACTTGTCTGGAAGGTGAGCAACGAAGCTGTCAAGCCAGTGACCATGCTCCAGTGGCACCACCATCGTCTTTCCCATCTCCACCAAGACATTGCTACTTGCCACGTGGGGGTTGAACTCTCCGCGGACCCTGCTAGGGTCGATCCATTTGGTGGCGTCGACTCTGCCCAGCATGTGCGACGTGATCATGTAGCTTCGGCCGGAGGACCCTGGGCTCATGACGACCTTTCCGAAAAGATCATTGTGGGAATAAAACAGGTCGAGAACGTTGAGGCGCCAATCAGCGAAGCGCTGCTTATTTGCTACCTCTGTGTCAAGGAAGACTGGCCAGAACGGCGTCCCATGGAATCTCTGTATCCACCGCTCTGCATAGAGCAGGGTACGCGGCCGTATGTCTATGTCGTCCTCTTGCACCAGAAAGAGGTCGAAATTCATTCGCTGCCGCATGAAAATCTCACGGTGGCGAATAGCAAGGTCGCCTGCTGTCCCAAAAGCGCCGGCGGGAAGGCCTCTATTCTCGAAGTGCTCCACGCTGATCGGAATCGAGGCCTCAATCCGCTGGCAATAGTATCGTTCGAAGTCGACGAGGTCTTCCCAGCTTTTCCGCGTCGTGTGCGGCAAGTGCGGTGCGTACGTGGTTAGGACCACATGTACGCGGAAGCCGACTTCGCAGGCTGCCACATAGTTGTTCAAGATGGTGTCGAGATACAGGAGAGTGGGCACGTGCTTTTGATCAGAGCTCTCGCTTTTCCAGACGCCAGTGACCACCACCAGCAGCGACGACGAAGTCTCGTGGCGGACGGAGGAGGGCGTGGCGCTCACCGGGGTCGCGTTGGGCAGGAACACCTTCGACTCGAGGTGCTCAGAGACGCCGCCCGAGCCGTGCGAGGAGAGCGCAAAGGCCGAGCAGCCCAGACCGATTACCACGGTGAAGATGACGCACAGCAGCTTTGACGAGCAGAACTTGCCCTTTGGCGAGCCGAACATGCCAGAGGCGAAGCCGGAGCGCGAGCCGAAGCCGGAGCGCGTCGAGGTCGGCTCGGTCTTCTCCCCGGCGCTGCCCTGACAGTGCGGACGAGGGGGTTTGTCACGAGCAGGCAGGGTGCGCTGAGCGGGCAAGGCAGTGCGCGCCGAGGGCGTCGTCGACGACGGCGGGTCGTCGTCGGTAGGCGGGAGCCCGTCCAGACTGCTGCTCTCCACCCACAACTTTGCCCCCGCCGCCGCCTGCGCCGCCGTGACCTGCAGATAGTTGTACACCACGAAAAAGATGAGCGTGATGACGCAGCCGCACGCCTGCGGGGCGAGATCGCGGGAGATCGCGGGAGATCGCGGGAATTTAGCGGGGGATGCACAGGGCGGATGCAGCGACTGCGGATGCAGCGAGGGCGGTAGCGTGGAGGGTGGTGGCAGTGGGGGCGGAGGCGGCGAGGGCGGAGGTGTAGAGCGTAGGCGTCACAGCCTCGCTGGGGGAAGAGAGACAGGGCGTATCTCACGGGACCCTCTGGCGCCCCAAGTAACTCTAGGGGACTATTGGAGATTCGCGCCTGCATCGGGCTGATGGCCTCGCCGAAGAGCACGACGCCGCTCACGATGACGCCCGCGTTGCGCGAGATGGAGAGCAGCTTCAGCATCACCACGTTCGTGCGCTGGATGACCAGGAACGAGGAGAGGTTGATCAGGCACCCCAGCAGGCAGCTCAGGCCGATGCCGACCCAGAAGGGCTCGGTGGGCGGGTTGCGGATGTCCTCGGGCTTGAAGCGGGGCAGCTCGATGGTGGCGGCGGCGGCCGCGGTGAAGACGAACGTGGCGGGCGAGACGTAAAGCAGCGCCTCCACCACGTGCATCTTGTATTGGCCGAGCAGCTTTTGCGTCAGGATCAGGCGCGTCGCCTCAAAGTACATGGACGAGAAGAAGACGAGTAGGCCGAGGGGAGACGCGTGCACCTCGCCCGCAGAGGCGATGGTCGTGCCAACGCAGCTGGCGAGGACCGCAAGGACGGGCTTCCGCTCCGGGTACCCGATCCCGAAGCAGCCCTGCATCATCATCGTCACGAGCGGTGCGTATCCCTTGAGGATCTCGATAAAGGAGACGGAAAGGTAGAGGTACGCGCTGTTGCCGGCGCAGAGGCAGGTGGCGGTGGCGAAGCCGACGATGACTGACGCGCGTACGAGCGTGCCGTCGAACTCTCTCCTTGGCATCTCCCACTCGATGTAGCGCATGCGGGAGAGCAGCGCGGCGGCGACCGCAAAGACGACGGTGGCGGCCTGCGTGAGGCTGGTGAGCACGATGGGATATGGGAATCCGGAGGTGAGGAGATACTTGTTGTTCAGGATCAGCAGCGGCCCGACCAGGGTGTACAGCACGCATACACCCACGGTGATGGTGATGTCGACAACGCTGCCACAGCGCCAGCTCTGCTCCTGCGCCATCGGAGCTGGCGGGACGCTGACATCCTCGCCGCTTGCGTCCACCTTGCGCAGCGGCTGCACCTCCTCCATGCGAAAGGGTCCCTTGGCAGCAGCACCCACCTATTAAGGAAGGCGCGAAGGCGGCGGGTGATGGTGCTGGGGAAGAGGGAGGTGCGGCGGAGGAGGCGTGGGATATGCTCCGGGGGAGTGTGTGCGTGCGGGGTGTGGAAGGGAGTGGCGGCAGTAACAGCGGTGGCAATAGCAGCGGTGGCAATAGCAGCGGTGGTGGATGGCAGAGGATGAATGGGATGAATCAGGTGGATAAGGAAGGCGCGATGGCGGCGGGTGTGGAGGTGCTGGGGAAGAGGGAGGTGTGGCGGAGGAGGCGGGGGAGATGGGTGGGTTGGGGGGGGGGGGGGGTGCGGCGGCGGCAGCAGCGGCGGAGGCAGTAGCAGCGGCGGCGATGGATGGCAGAGGAGGGCGGCGAGTGCTGGTGCTGCGCATACAATAATACGGACTGCAGACTGCTGCGGACTGCTGCGGACTGCTGCGGACTGCTGCGGACTACTGGGTGAATAATGCGCAGTCTGCAGCAGTAGTCGCACTGGTTGGTGCAGCAGCTGCAGCGCTGTACTGGGCGCCTCTTAATGATCAATTAGTTATTGAGGCCGTGCAGCTACCGGGCGCCTTACAATCTTTCATCTCATATTCACTGTCGACTACTGCGGAGTACACGCTTGTACTGTCGATTACTGCGGACTACTGACGGCGGACTGAGTACTGTGATAATCTCGGGGAGGCTCTCAGGCAATGATTAGGTTGAAGAGGCCAGCCAGAGCCCACGGGGCGTACCATATTAATGAGTGAGAATGAATGACTACGTACTACTTTGGGCGGCGAGGACTTGCTGCTTTTTCACGTCTCTGAGTGAGAATCAGTGACTAATCGCCACTGCCGAGGCAATCCTGTGTCAGTCTGGGCTGGGGGGTCGATCTAACCTCTGCGCAGCTGCAGCGCAGCGGAAAGGACCCGCCTACGCGATGAAAAGGAGAGAAACGAGAGTCAAAGAAGATGTCCTCTGTTTATGAGAGGTTATGCGGGTTATGAAGGCATGTAAAAAATGTCGGGCTATCTCGGACAACCTCGCCTAAAAGACAGAAAAAGAAATCAAACCGGGACGTGCCGCGATGCAGGACTAACGCAAGCTTGTTGACCGGGAAGGTTCAGCCGGAGAGAGTAGAGCTGCGCCTACGGGACAGCACGCCGCGGCGTGAGCGTCGAGACGAGGCCGCCGGCACGCGCTGTCTGTCGCGTCCACGGCGCTCGGACTGGAGCCGGGCGGCGACTGGCGAGCGAGCGGGCTGTGGCCGGAAGACAGGAAGGGCGGTCCGGCGCGGGCTCGCGCGGGACAAGGGTGGCGAATGGGCAGCAGCGGACGCGTCTCACGACTCCGCGATGGCAGCGGCCGTACCTGCGGGTATGCAGGCGGTGCCAGGCTGAGGGGGGGGGGGGTGCAGCCGCTCGATGCGGCGAGCGAGGGCGCATCGCTCGGCGTGAGCAGTGCGGGCGCGGCTAGCTCCGTGGGCGATAGGCGCCGCGGGGATCCAGGCGTGTAGCTTGCGGCGGCACCGGAGGTGCGATTGCGGCGAAGGGTGGCACCTTGTGGAAAAGCGGGCGTCAAGGACGAAGAGACGCCTTCCCGGAAAAAAAATCCACAATAGCTCTCGCCCGCGCTGCTCCTGCGCCGAGGCTAGACCAGCTCCAGTTCACTAGCGCAAACTACAGTTTGTTTGACATGAACTGTATCGTGGTCGTCTCTCCTCGTGCCTCTTCCCAACGTTTCCTCGGCGGCCGATGCCGTCTGCTCCGACGCCGCCGTCCCCGGGTCTGCCCCGCCCGCCCGCCCTCAGGCCTTGCCCCTCCGCAGGCGCGGGAGCGCTCGCCGGCCGTCGCAAGCACCTCCTACCTCTCTTCGCCCGGCTGCCTCACCGCGCACGGAGCGCTCGGCTGCTCGCCGCCGCCGCCGCGCGTCCCGCGCCGCCACGCTTGCCCCCTCTCCTGACGCGCACCCCGCGCAGACGCTCCGGGACAGACGGAGCAGCGACCGCGCTCAGCGGTCGCTGCTCCGCCCCTCCGTCGCGCGCGCCGCGCGCGCGCTGCGCCGCTGCCGCCGCGCCCCCCTCGCCATCTGTTTCCCGCCGTATGGTGTGCGGTGCGCGCACCGGGCACGCGCAGCGCACACGGCAGCTCGAGCACGGCAGCCTCCCCACCCCCCTACCAACCCCGTCGCGCCGCCGCCGCCGCCCCCGCCACCGCCGCCGCCCCCGTTGTAGCGTTTGGGAGTGCGACTGGCGACGGCAAAAATGCAAGCCCCGCCCCTGGCCACTGTTTTCTTCACATAACAAGGGCTGTGAACAGACGCGAAGGGTCGGTCGGCAGGTGCAGCCTGCCGACTGACGACGGTACTGCGACCGGCGGCAACAGCGGCGCTGCCAGCGTCGTCAACAGCGTCGGCGCAGGCGGCCGGCAGCGACTGCCGGCGGAACGTGCGGCAGCACCATCTGCACTAACTGCCTCGCCTGTCTCGCAAGTTCCGGCCGTCCCTCGAAGTGGAGCAGCTTCCTCCCCGACGCTCCCGTGATCCCCTCGAGCCGTTCTGGCCCCACGAGGTCCTCGGCGTGCCGCATCGCACCCTTTGCGTACTCCAGGAGGGCGTCAAGGGTCCCGAGCTGGCCGTGCGCCGCCGCGAAGCTTCGCACGATCTGCCAATCGTCTCCATCCTCCACGTCGACAACGTCGACGAGACTCGGCATCGTGCCGTCCGTTGCGGTCGGGGTGGCTCCCGCGTGCTCCGGGGGGCTCCCCGGCGGTGAGGGGGCAACCGCTGTGCTCGGCGGTGAGGGGGCAACCGCTGTGCTCGGCGGTGAGGGGGCAACCGCTGTGCTCGGCGGTGAGGGGACAACCGCTGCGCTCGGCATCCTCCGCCAGCGTGCCTGTGACATCCATGCTCGCGCAATCCGGGCCAGCCAGCTGCACAGAGCCACCAACGAGGCTAGCAACGGCGCCGCCAGCACTGCCCACCCCCAGCCCGCAAGAGGGGGCGGTGGCGGCTCTTCGCCGTCGGCCGCCGCCGCCGTCACACCTCGCACCAGGCCCAGCAAGCACGCTGACCTGGTTGGCGCCGTCCCGACCTTTGCTCCGCCAGCGACCGTCAGCAGCACGGACGCCCCGCACAGCCATGGCACGGCGAAGGGGGCGGCGGAGGGGAGGGCGGCGGCGGCGGCGAGGGGGCGGCGAG